TTCTAAAAGTACTAAGACCTAATCTTCAAATAAAACCTCATAAGGAATCCAAATAAAGTAGTTGTTTTAAGACAAAGGGCAATCTGTTGGGGCTTTAGGCACCTCTCCCCCAACCCCCAGATGGGCTCAACAAATAAAATAAACCAAACTCACTGCCACCGAGTTGAAGTCCACTCCCGGAGACCCTGTAGGGCAGGGTAGAATAGCTCTTATGGGTTTCCGAGACTGTCTTTCTCCCACAGAACAGCTAGTGGTTGCGAACTTCTGACTGTGGTTAGCAGGCCAATGTGTAACCACTATGCCACCAGAGTTTCCAGATGGCTCCCAAAGGACTTCCTAAAACCATCCAGAGCTCTGCAGGGGACAGTTAGAAAGCCAGTCCTGGAAAGGCTGAGCCTTCATCGGATGGGTAACCGAGGCCCAGGCACACCGGGTAGGATCTGCCCGCTGTCACCCGGTAAGAGTCAGTGGAGCCCAGGCTCCTGACCCCAAGGTTCCCACTGCTTCCACCGCCATCCCGTTTCACCTGCAGAACTGTGCGGAGTAGAAGGTTCCAGCAATGCATCGTTAGCCATCAAATATAGGGGCTTCAATCAGCAATAAAGTTGGAGAGCTTATTTCAAAAGGAGTGAGAGCCCAAAGTCATACAGCTCTCACCTGCTAGACAACAGTGCCCCCCTGAGGACGCCTGAGACAGGACACAGAGCACCTACTGAGGCCAGAGGTAGCCACTCACACACACACTGTCCTCAGATGGATGCTGACTCATAGCGACCCTGTGTGGCAGGGTAGAACTGCCTCTGTGGGTTTCCAAGACTGTAACTGTTACGGAGAGCAGGAAGCTCCATCTCCCAACTTCAGACTTGGGGGTTTCGGCCCACTGCGTAATGTAACTGCTACGTCACCAGCACTCCCAACCTGGGGAGTTCAAACGTTTTGTCTACCAAGAAACCCTTCGAGAGTCTGATGACAGTGCAGATTCTCGTCCCCAGACACAGACCATCGTGTGAAGACTTCCAGGGATCCCTGAGCCCCAAGGCCCCTCAGAAGAACAGAAGGAACAACCTCCCATAAATGACATCATTGATGACGAGTGGTGGT